TGTATAAAACACGACTGTTATAATGTGTGTGTTACCGGTAATTTGAATTATTTGGAATTACCTAGGAAGTACCTTGTTGATAATGAAAATTAAAATTTAAAACAACTTGTGACATTTAGATTTTATAAATCGAGATTAACATCGACTTGTTTTAGATACCTATAGAACAGCAGGTACCGAATACGATCTCGTAGACTAATAATTATACCTTGTACGTCCTACCTTCATATTGCTTCATATAATACTAAGACCCCTGCGGTATTCTATAAATTGTGTAGTGTGTGTATGGTATACAGGATTATATAAACTGCCCGTAACATACGCTTTGAATACAACGCAAGCGTTTGTATTACAAAAAGCATGACTACCTTTCAAAGATTCAAGCTTGAATACACCCATATCCATTCATTTCAGACACGTGTTATCTATTATACCATGGAATTAACCACATAAAATCTATTCCAGGCAGTAAAAATGCTTTAAATAATAATAACGGTTATTACAACCGCACGAGTAATTTATTTCTTCGCTTTACCATTAAATTACGCAGTAAAAAATCTTATTATCACATTAAACACCTCATATGGAGACTCATTAAATGCGGTTAACGGCGAGCTGCACTTTTCTGAAAATGACCAAAACTGACGGTTTTATTACCCCATAAAATAGTGCGCTGGAGAACATTGTTTAGAACAGTGACGTACCGAAATAGACCTTGTTTCGTTTGCTGAACTATATACGGTTTTTTATGTTGAAACCTACAGATAAATACAGAATTCAGCGCTTTCCAGCTGGTTTAACTGTCATGCATATACGGTTGCCGTTTTGGAAAATTATAGAAATTAAAAAACGATTTTAGTTTGTTTTTACGATAATGGTTGGATTTGAACTGGCACCCACGTCTCAATGAGTCTTAATTTGTCATGAACGATTTTAGGCTGCATAAGAAATTGAACCGTAATACGCTTATAGATGTTGAAATTACAATTGCAAAGGAGAGGTGTATGTACATCAAAATGTTGAAAAAAATCGACGTTGACGTGTAAAACACGGTAGCTCAATTGGTTAGAGCAACAGCACGGAAGTGGAACGTTGCCGCGTGATTTTTTTTCAATTTAAAATCACACAATTTCTTCGTATATATTAATTACTTTAAGACATGATTACTTTCATAGTAGCTCAATTGGTTAGGACAACAGTACGAAACGCTGTAGATTCCGGTTCAAATCCCAGCCAACAATGTCGTATTTTTAAAATAATGTAACATTAATAGTATGTGAAAAATATTAACGGTTTTCAAATTTACATATATTTATAAATGTTACATACATATGTATATGCAAAAAGACCAAGCGGGAGATTTCCATTTTTTCTTTTAGGTGTCGTATTTAAAAGCACTATGCAAAATTATTCCGAGAAAATACGCTTTTCAGCTTATATTGCTTGAGGGTTGGGGCTCGGCTGTGGCTCCCACTGAAATTGCATTTCACTCGATACTGGGATATTTTCTTAACTTGTAGAACAATGTATTTTATATTTCCGGTGAAATCTGCACAATTTTAGATTATGTGTTGCAGTAATCTTGCGCAAGTTTCATTTATTTATATTTATTAGTACCTTCTTGAAGGTACAATTTATTACTATATTATTATTATTATTTTCCGCGTTTACTTCATACAACGGGCTACTTGAAAACTTTTTATAATTTTCACATGTTATTGCACATGATGGCATTATATGATTTAAAAAATCTATACTAATATTATAAAGAGGAACATTTGTATTTTTGTATATAATGGATAAACTTCTTTTTTATAATTTGTCCATAGTGCTTAAACAGCTAAGGACGACGGGGTCTCCCCGTCCTCGGTCAGAAGGGACCTGGTCTACTTATTCACAATTATATATACTTATGCCAAACTTATAGAATATCAACATTTATGTGTTACCGCCTATAAATATCACTGGAAGAGTCTAGCCGCCTACGACACAGACAATCCTAATGTTCACTACATTATTGCAGCTTATTACCATGAATATATATTGTGTATATTGTAGAACGCTTCATGGTCATTCTTGGTCGTTGGTTCATATCCTGCCCAACCTAACTTTACAATGAAGGATTTGGTTTGTGAAACCTATTTAGGAAGAGTATAAATATCGTCAAAGGCTGTTAAAAATGGGGCGTGCTTGCATGCTCCTGAGTCGCAGTAAGTGCGCTCTTGATTGGCGGTACAATTTAATTTTCAATCTGGCTGAATGACGTTCCAGAGGACCAGCGCTATTCGCTTTGATTAAAGTTCACTCCACGGCCACTCGAATATTGAATACCTACTGCTATATTACCCATTAATATTAACACGTAGGTACTCCGTACCTGTGTAGGTAACATCAGAGCTACGGCTGCGAATTGTCATTTAGTTATTTTTTTCCTTTACTTGCTGTTCCATGTGGTTGTGGTTGTTGTGGTGCTGGGATCACACACATAATGACTAGATTTTTAAGACGAAGTAAACGTACATATTAGGGGCTATCCAATTAAAGCACAGCGAAACGAAATGAGTTTTAAACGGTGTAAGAGTTTTGTTTAAATGTATACTACTCGCGTAAACTACAGACAATAAGTATAGCCTTTTAAAATTGTTTTGAATAATCCTCCTCTCTATTATAAGCACTTACTTATAATAGAGAGGAGGAAAGACAAGCATCAAGATCACTTGATGGAAGATAAATATTCCGACACTGCCGCTACATAATATCAAAAAAAGATGCGCTATCGACCTTTTTGGTTTAGTACACTCATGTTTTAGTTGGTATTTATAGTAATAAAAGGTATAAAAACTATAGTAGTCACCCAAACAGCAATACATATATTAATTGTGGCGTGACAATGGGTCTGCTGGTATTTACTGTATTGTGATCTCATTGCAAAGGGCTCGCTATCCCTCGGGTGCCCAAAGAAAAACTAATGAATTTAATGACATCATTTTACAAAATAAGTAATTAGAAACGACATTATATTAAAAAAAAATGTTAGTAGTAAAAAGTAAAGAGAAACCCGTAGTAGTCTTGTCGCTCGCAAATATATTATTATCATTTATTTTTAGTTTTAGCGATAAGGCCGCCGTTTCTCGCTACATTTTGGTTACAGGTTACAGTTAAGTTTTATTTTGTAACATTGTAGTGACAGTCAATAATGTTTTGTTTGTTTGTTTATAATGTTAAGTTTAGTCTTCTATTAAGTCACCTTCTATTTTTACGGTTATAAGGATCTAAAACTATTTGCAAAGAAAAATAAACCCAATAAACAAAGAAAAAGACTTTAATTTGTGTTCTCGGAAAAGTTTGTTATATTAAAAGTTGTAGGAGCCAGGAAATAGTCAAAGAGCTAATTATTATGCTCTTTCATGGCAAGTTTACTCTGCTTGTGTGCTTAGAGCTCAGACCTTAGTTTATTGCCTGTGAGAGAAGTTTTACATTCTATACCTTCTGACCAATCCAAAGTGTAAAATCCCTTGTCCCCTATGTAGAGAAATAATTTCTGAATTCACTAATGGCATTTTGCAAGCAAGAAGTAAATAGGTCTTGTGCACTGCTCGACCGAAATTTAGAGTTGTCCCGGGATTTAATCCAGGAACTCGCACATATAACGTGAAGCTGGGAAATTTTTTTACCCATTAAGTATATTAGTAGAAACATGCAGTCGGTTTATAAAGAACAAATAAAATACACCAAACAATAAGGAACTTTTTTCAGTCTTTGTACAAATTGAATACTGAAGATGGTAACCCGAAGCCACGTTGTGTTACCCGCGCTGGTATTATTTTTAAATTAGTTATAAGAGTATGTAGAAATTAGACGGAATTTAAATCCGAAAATCTAACCTCAAACTAAAATACAAATTACATTTCCTGACGTCCCAGTAGATATGGCAAAAATGTACTAAACTTGCATATGATTGCTCCGGTAACCTAAAGGATAGTAAAAGCTTAACTTTCGCAGACGAAGTTTATGTTAAACTTATGTCATACAGCCGGCAACCGGCAAGTCTACCTGTTGCCGAAGCGATGTGCCCGGAATGTTAATTGCTTTACCGGATGTCGTACCTCAAGCTAGTGCCGCTGAGCAAACATTGTCGACGAAGACAATATTATTCATAGCTATTATTCTTGTCTGTAATAGTTTTAGTTCTTATCGAGTGGGCTTCTAGAGGTTCCCTTTATATAGAATTCGACAGTATTAGGAAATACAGTGTAATTAATTCTAAAGTCAAATATTATCTTAACTTTATAAGGCTTTCGCAAAATTTTTCAAAATTTTATGTCCTACAAATAAATTATAGCAAAACATAATACTGTCTATAGTTTACGCGGGTAATAAACAATTGAATAAAACACTTTAACGGACTCTCCCCGTGACCACCGCTGCTGCAAAGAATCCGAAACGTCGGACCGTAGTTAAAATAATTTTCAAATTAGTTTAAAACCATTAAAGTGTTTTATTTAAAAATATAACTTTAAAATTGTTTAAGTATACAATAATAACGTTTGCAGCGTTATATTTATTTTAACAACTAATAGTCGCTTGTTATAACACAGCGACTTATTATTTTTATCCTCAATAATAGGTATTGTCGCTATGATTCGGCTATTCATCGATTGACCTAAATTGTACAACAATAACTTTCAACTTGCTTTATCATGTACACCGAATTTGGTAGGGTAGACTGTTAATTACGTTGCCACTCAATGAATTTTTAAAATCGAACGCTGTTTGAAAGGACACCCTTTTTGAAAGACTAATGTGTTTTTTTGCTTTGTCGTGTACATATGTCGCCCGGAATCGATAAAAAGCATCTTTCCAAAAACAATAAACCTTCTAAATATTTCGTTATTTATTAGCGTTTTTCATAGGTCCGTTGTTGGCTAATGGAAGTAATTAATAATGAAGAAGGTCGTAAGGTTAAGACAAAGCGTTGAAGCTTATTAAAATTAACAAACCTCGTGACTTTGAAGGTGATCTTAGTCTTTCTCTTGTACTTTATGGCGCGTCGTCTTCGAGCCAGGGCGGCGGCGCTCGTGAGCAGTGCGCTCTTGGTATCACTGTCGCTGGTATCCACACTGGTGGGGCTTTCGTCAGATTTGAGCGTGGGCCCGATCGGGGGTCCTTCCGACCCCCGTCCCCAAGCCAGCATGGACTTCTTGAATGACCTGAGCGCCTTCGTTTTATAGGCCCTCTCACTGCACAGCCATGCAACAACATATCGCACTTCCGACTCAACCCGCCGTCTACTTGATCACACTCGCGTCCAACAAATCCCACAATGACTGAATTAATCGCGCCAAACTTCGAGCACCACTAGACTTAAATAAAGTAAAGAAAGCACGTGTTTGATTTTATGGTAATTAAGTCGATAGACTGAACGCGGAGCCTCGTTATATTTATCAAAAAGCAAACATAACGGTATCGTACGCACGCCAGTGGTTTGCCAAACGTTGATATCACCTATAATATTGCACGTCTCGCCATTAAAACGCGCTGTGATATTAGTTACGTATTCGGCGAATAACAGCGGATAGATTTAATTAAGAGAGTTAATTAATTCACTGTATTTTCACGAACTGGAATAGAATTGATATTGCATCTCATTTGTGACTCTGTTCTATTCTAAGGTAAACGACGTGATAATGGGAACATACATTGTAATATTTGAATCTAAAAGCATTATTTAAATTTTAAAGTTAAACAACTTATTATTTGAAATACAAACGTCACAAAGTAATAATATGTATTAGGCCACAAAACTACATTATTTTCGAGTCGGTTGAATCAACACGGCGCGACCTTCACACTGGAATCTATTTAAAATTGTAGCGAGACCACAGACGGATCGTTCAAAGCGATATTTTAAAAGACTGTTGAATAATTAAAGTATAAAACGGCACTTTTACATTTGTTTTCCGCTTGATATGATCTTTTTCGAGCCACACACGAGCGAGAACACTTCGCAGCGCGCTATGTCACTGACTCCTGAGTCACCATGCGAGATGAAAACGTAACACGTTATGCGTTAGTGTATAACACGAAGTTACACGGCCACAGGGACATAGACAGACTAGTGAGTACTGACTGAAGAGGAACGATCAGAGTGGCGAACGAGACGCCAAGTCCCGATCATTGTGGCGCGTCGTTTGCGCCGAAATAGAAATGCTTCGAGTGACACGAACGTCTTTGTCACCATGACGAGATACGGGCGTTGAATCTATGGTAATATTGGCGCACGGTTCAAACATAAGTGAACTTGAATTTGAGGAGCTCGTTGAGCTAATATTGCTAATTACGGTTCAATATGTTTGTAATCATTTTATAACTTTTCTTGAACACCTAGGAATATTGAAATTTCATCTGGGTCAATAAACATCGTCCACAGATGGAAAAACGTGGAGTTTAATCGTGTTTCCCTTCCAGTGTGTGGATTTACGAATATCATATGCACTTGAATAGTCAAGTCAATAAAATTGTTGTCCTGCAATATATAATGTTATAAGCTTTTCTTTCTTTTTTTTCGCGTATGTGTTCGTTAATTAGTAGATATTTGTTTGAATTTTTTTTTCACATGTTAGTGTACATGATGGTATTACATAAATTAAAAATAGATTTTAGATAGAAAAATTTAACGACACGGGCAGGACTTGCGTTCCCTGTTGCTGCTCTAACTGAGCTACCGTGACACGGTGTCGTGGATATTCTCGTGGTCTTAAAAAATGTATTTGTCGTGATTCTTTTGGGAATCTGTAAAGAAAAACTTTTTATCAGAATTAGCATTTTCGTTTTTAATTATTTCAGGTCACTATTATTCGAGGTAATCTGACATTAACTAATCGTTTCATTTTTCCACTTTTGCTGTGGAAGTTTGTCTATTTTATTTCTTAGGATTTAATAATGAAGTTCAATAAATAACGAGCGATGAATCAATCATTTTTATGACAACGACGCAATCAAATCCAACGCATCCTAATAGTTTCGGTTATTTATAACTTTGTATAGAGCCTTTTTTATTTATAGCCGTCACTGTCTCCATCGGAGATAAAATCGCAAAGCTATTTTGCTTGTGATGTACGATCTAACGCTGTGACATGAAATATCGTACAAAATGTTTTCATGCGATATGTGTAGGGAAACTATGAATAAAGAACCATAATAAAATGCCTCAAAGTATTTGCAGGAATGACAAGTTTTGCCGTTATGGTATGTAGATAAGTAGTAAAGGACTAAACATAATTCAGCTTTTTCACTTATGTTTTTATATGTATATCACCATGTTAAAACCCGTTACTTCCTTGTGGATATAGCAGATATATTTTTATGTGGGTTTTAATGATCGATTTTCAGAGAAATGTTGATCTCATTTTGTGCTTTGTCCAACCAAGACTTTTAATTATGTATCCCTAAGTTTCCAACCTAGGAGCCTTCGCGAATTTAACCGTTGCCACGTTCACTAGATCACAACGGTGAGTCTAGAATATGTCAAAGTGTTCACACGACTTTTGAAAACGAATATCAACCCCTTAAGTTATCGCATCTATACTAATATATAAAACTGAAGAGTTTGTTTGTTCGTTTGAACGCGCTGATCTCAGGAACTACGAGTTCGAATTGAAAAATTCTTTTTGTGTTAGTTAAAGTATTTATCGAGCAAGGCTATATACAGGCGAAGATACAGCGAGATATGTGACGAAAATTATGAAAATTATTCATCATTATGGGTTTCCGAGGCGCACGCTGCAAAAACGGTTCAAGATACCCAAAATGATTCCTCTTCAAATGATTTCAAAAAAGGCCACGACGCTATAATATGTCTATCTCTTAAGATTATCTTGCAAGAAGGGACGCGACCGACGTCGTGGATAAAATCAAATTTGGATGCCCGAAATAACTATTCTACGCGAATGAAGTCGCTGGCTCAGCTAGTATATTATAAAGAAGAGTTTGTTTGTTTGAACGCGCTAAGCTCAGGAACTACTTGTTCGAATTGAATAATTATTTTCGTGTTGGTTAGAACATTTATTGAGGAAAACGATAGGAGCTAATAGGAGCGAAGATACAGAGAGCAGTTTCCATTGCATACGCAGCAAAAACGGTTTAAGGTACCCAAAAAATATGTATATAAGAATGATTCCTCTTTAAATAATCTAAAAAAAAGTTCGTGACAGTATATGCCTATCTCGTAAGATTAACTTGCAAGAACGACGGGACGCATACGACGTCGTGGGTAAGTAACAACTTAAATTTATAGAGTTAAACAGTAGGTTTGCAAAAACAAAAACTTATATATGTATATCCAAAATAACTATTCTACGCATACGAAGTCGCTGACTCAGCTAGTATATAATTATATAAGCATAATAGTATTCTATTGTTCGAGTAGCGTAAAAATAATTAAATTCTTCTGATTTTCATAATAACCAAAGTTCATGGTGTGTATGAATACTTAATTTATACCTGAAAAGGCAGACGCGAACTTCAATTTAACTTGTTCGATTGTTTAGGGGGTGCTGAAAAGTTTCCTTTGCGTTTGGTATAATACATCAATGTCAAATTTCCTCAAGATACTAAAATATTTACGAATTCTTTTCATTATTCCCTATATAACTCCAACTTAGAAATTACATCTTAAATAGGCCTTTGTAGACATTACTTTTAAAGATAATTATTGTCTGTTAGTAAATAGTTCAGCGGCTCATCTTAATTGCACATTAAGTACTAGTGTACTTCACCTTGGATTAGATGATCCCCATACTTATCCATCCCCTCTAATAAAAAACCGTCAAAAACTCCCATTGTACCAAGTTTGTAGATCATAAAAAACTTTGCCTATACTTATCGCAAATCTCTAGATGATAGTATAAGTCAAACAGAAGTCTGCAACCCTTATTGAATGATAAAATAGCAAAAACAAGTTTTGCGTATATAAGTAAAAGCTAACGTTGACTTTAGTATCATTTGTTTTGCAATATTTTTATTCATATGTAGACTACCTCCATGGTTCAACGAGTATATACATAACCTGGAATTGTGTTAAACGCGAGAGATCCTTCGAATTCCTGGAAAATAACAGTTTCTATCGGGTAGAGCACAAAAATGTGTCTGCCCCATATCTCGTTAAATTACTTGTATATAGTAATTATGAGTGAGGATTTTAATGTATGCACCTGGGCTTTAAAACAGAGTAAATTTAAACAAGAAAAGTCGTTGATCAGGCCATCGATCCATTCTCGAATCTACGAGTTATCACTGTGTAAGTTTGGTTAGTAACAAAACAAAAAACACAAAAGTGGTAGGTGACCCGGACGGAATGTCTATATTCGGTCCACAGATTAAAAAGCTGTGAAGCTCAAACGCGTTTCAGTTTCAGTCTGTGGATTTCCGAATATCCAAAGACAAAATAGGTCGACAAGTATATTTATGAACTCCATGCTTATTTGTGCTCCTCTATCATTAAAAAAAAGAACTTAAATAAGTCTCAGCTATAGATTTATTAAAACGAAACTGTCGAGAGAAAACTCTAGGCAAAAAGCACAAGACGCGCGATATTTCCGCGTACTACCATCTGTATCGCTTTTACGCTATTATTCGCAGACATCTGCCAAGTGATAAAGGTATAAATAGAAACTAATAATATACTTCACTAAGCGCGTGATCGAACACTTTAAAATGATCAGTTATTTTTGGCACAATAAATACGCGTAAACAGAACATAAACACGGAACAAAATCTCTCTATCAACGCTTCCTACTTGGCAGGAGATTTCATGTATATCTATACTGATATATAAAGCTGAAGAGTTTGTTAGTTTGAGCGCGCTAATCTCGGGAACCACTGGTTCGAATAGAAAAATCTCTATAGAGGCTAACTTCTCTCAAGACTTTTTCTATTCGTTAGGTTTAATTTATTGAGGAATATAACGCTGCGCCTAAGAGGAGCAAAAACACAGCGGAAAATGTCGACAAACGGGGAATTTATTCAATCTGTGGGTTACCGCTACGTTACGTCCGTTACGTTACGTTTAAGGAGCCAAAAAGTAATCATGATGGCGTGATTTTTCTCAAAATCATTTAAAAAAATGTCCGCGACAGTATATGTTTATCTTTTAAGATTAACCCGCAAAAACGACGGGGCGCGACAGGTTGTTTGTAAAAATAAATAATATGATGCCCAAACAACTATTCCACATAGACGC